TGTAACAATGTTTGTTTCCAGATAAGAATCAGCCACCGTGTAATTTCTCACACCCTTCTAATAAAAATCCAAGAATCAATTTCACAGTACAAAGATTTAATATTCAGAATGACGTGTTTTGTAAACATTTTGTATGCAAACAATTTGTCTACTGAAGCCCAAGTTTTGATCTTATCAGTCTATTGTAGGCTGAATTTAACGTCACTATGCTTAACGCGAATTCTGAGTTATAAGCGACTGGACTATAAGGGACAATACAATTCACACTAAGTAAATAGTTACGAAATAATTCTAGCGATGCATTAAAATAATTAACCGATATTTGAAGATTGACGATATCAATTGTTAAGGCAACAGGAATGATTTGGATATTTAAACAAACTTAAAAACTACTAAAACCAATTCATACAAAGCCTGTATAGGCCGCTAGATCAAATATTTTCAATTGTTTTGTAAAACACAGAAAATACTATTACGCTGTAAATTTTCACAATAATAATCCAATGACGTTTATGATTCTTGCCCTCAGATTGCATAAGTTTATTTGATGATTTTTATTTCGTAGACTGCTGACACTTTTCTTCGACTCTTAGATTTGAGATATGCCAGTTTTCTCACGATGTTTTCCTGAACTGTACAAGCCAGTGTTCAAACCGACGATATCAGAGATGAGAGCCAACACTGTTTTTACATGTTTCGCCATACTGGTTATTATTAAGAACCATTTTAGCGTAAAATATAATATTTTTATTAAATAAAAGCTATTACACCACAGGAGTCACAAATAATAAAAATAGAACGTAGAAGACCTATTTGACCACATCGCATGAATCAATGATTAAAAATTTCACTGGGATTATTCACCGTTCATATACAAAGGAGTAACCCGTTGGCGACACAATACGCATAACTAATCTAGATCTTATTGTTCACCTATTCAATCTGGATATCTCATTCGACGTCGATAAAAACAGCCTTAAAGCCTGCTTGTCGCTTAATGGTACTTATGTTTTATGAATGAACTGTACAGACTTGTTTGTAATTTTTTTGTCCACCTTATTTATGAAGAGGTCATGTTAACATGACCCCTACATAAACTACATATTGAACACGTATTGAACCACGAAGAAATTCGTTCCTCAAGCTTCCGCGGTAAGTTTCGTTGATGGCCATTATCCTAAACGTGCATAATTATAATCCTGGTAGGTATATAGTCCGCGCCCGAGGCTTTCGGCGTCGATTCCTTTGAGTATGGTCATACATCACGGCTCCTAAGTAGACAGTATATCACCCCCTATCCAGAGTAATTAGGCCCATGGCGACGGATCTCCTGGATTTATAGTAGGGCGTTAATACGGCCGACAACCGTGTTGCCGTCTTTTGTTCTCGTAGCCCAAATTCAATTACAGTAACAGTACACAGTTTATTAACAAGATATCAGCGCCTTAGGGTTGATCTAACAGACCATAAATCAAGCGTGATCGAACGGATAATTCATAATCTACTTGAAATAGTCCTTCGTCCTTGTATCAGTGAGATAAAATTAGTGACAAAAGCCAATGAATGCCACAAAAAAGAGTAATCGATACAGCTACCGCAATCCGTCAATTAATTTACTTTTGAGATATCAGAGGCGACAAAGGGACGGCCGATGAGAAAATGCTACTACTATTTTGCTACATGCGTCTATATAAGGGAATAGCGCATTTACATGAAAGGCATACAGTGTAAAATCCTTGAGCGAGTGATCAGTGTCGAATAGCTACCGTAGGCGACAGCTAGTGATAACACTGCGAGGCTACGTCGTTAAACATCATTAGCAAGATAAAGTTCCTAAATGCAGTCTCTAGTTGAGATATTTACGTTAATTCAAGTGGAGATTCGTGTCTGGCAAAAAGGTTGAATTAATGACACCTTGCCGGCGCCAAAATTGTTCGCTAAATTCATATTTGAAAAACATCAACACAGCAATTAACCATTGTCTGTTAAACATATAGTGTCCATTCAAAACAAGCTAAAAATGATCGAACAAAAGAATGTTAGAAAACCTCAATTTTACACCCGAATCAAAACTTCAACCCGTATTGTGTTGGTTTGGTGTTAACCAATTTTTCTTTTGTTGCTACCCCGCCCACGCTTATTATCAGATAATTCTTAGCCGTGTCATTTTTTATCAAAACAATGACGTTTTTATAGTAAAATTTTGGTCTCACGCAACTCACAATTAATTTCTTGTAACACGTCTAGTAACCAAAACACAAAGACAACATGAAGATAATCTTATTTATTCTTTTGATGGATTAATTTGGTTCCTTGAAATATATTTTAAATGTATTCGAAGTGAATGGTTTGTATTTGGAACGCATATCCGTGGTTCATGTAGGCGATTGTTTTGTTCATTCTATATGTGTTCCTTTGTTCCATTTCAGGCGAAACAATAATTATTTCGGGTTAAATGGTTTATACATGTCAAAATACATGTGTGTTTCATGCGACGAGTTGCATTTGACGAGTATCGTATAAGTCGTACGTACGTACTAGGAGGTACTCGAAAAGTACTCAAATACCTGACCGCTTAGTTGTGTGTAAAAGAAAAGGGAAACATATGTACATTAATGATATGCGCTTACACACATAAAACATAAACTGTGTGTGTAAGCGCACACAGTGTTGTGTTTATTACTAAATGCCACCCCGCTAATGATGGTTGAGAGCCAATACTATCGCCACTTCTAGAAAGACTGTATATAAATACAGTCTCACAACTAATATTATTTATAATTGTAAACTTTTTTAAAGAAATGATGTATACATTTTGCTGGGATAGGGACCTCCAGAGGACTAAACATAATTCTATATTTGATTTACAAACAGAACTTTTTATGTCTCTCATAGATAATAAAAATGTCATAAAAATAATAGTTATTAGAATCTGCGACACAAAAAAATAATATCAGTTTATCCACCCACATTGGATATAAATTAATAGTCCCTCATGTGATGTCATTTAATGATAGTTGATTGGTTTCATGTGAGGTATTTTTTTAGGAAATACCTTGGAGATATCATCTAGTCCTGCTAAATATGTGGGCGATGATTTATTGTTGGAAAGGGTAGGCTCGAGACAAGACAATTTTTATCTGAACTTCTGCAGAGAAAGATTTTTGTAACTAAAAACTACTTTTAAATATACAAAAATAAGGGGCGCTATATGGATCTCAGCCTATTTGCATCTGTTTTTTGTTGTAGATTTTTCTTTTAAATTTTAACTTACACAACTATATTGAGATTACTTGACTTATATTTTCTGTTTCTGTGAAATTGAAATATTTATTGATAGTAGATAGTATAGTTCAAGGCCATGAAAGTTGGCGGAATAGGGCGTCTCCCAATTCCACACGTTGTTGTTAAATTAAACTTCTTACTAAAAGTGTATTTGTTACCTAAACGTTTTTATTTTCAAATTACGTGTTCAGATATAATATAGTACTAATTACATACTTAACACATTTTTTTGTAAAACACTCCCTATGATGTGTCTAAATAATCACTTGTTTACAGATATTGAAAATAATCTAGGTACGTGGACTGCAGTGCATGAAAAGATAATGGAGATTTGGACAAATTAAGGATACTCTTACCTATTTACCAAATCCACTGTTTTTATAATTAATTTTGCCCGATTTTAATTGAAAAAAAAAATGAATAGAAATAGTTTTATTCTAACTATGTACAATTACAAAATTATTGTTAATTCCTTTCCTAGATAAACCATATTCGGTGATCTAAATTGTCTATGATTTCTTAGGTATAGAACCTACGAACTTGTTACCTTTTTTTAAAATTACGCCCATAGCTACAAAAACTATCCTAACTTAACTGCAATAAGGCTGCATACTGCACTATTATGTATTTCATTTACTAAAAAAAAATCCAGTGATTGATAACTTTTTACTTAAAACTGTTTTTTTTAAACTAAAATTCTTGTATAGTTGCTTATACTATTAATTTTGTGGTTATATGTTTTGTTGTCCACTGGTAAGATTTGGAGTTAATAAGCGCGTAGCGCTAAGTATGACTGTACGAGTATGTCAAAAACATATTACATTCGGGGGAGTCATAGTTCGTTACTTCATAGTCCTATTTATAAATAAATAGTTAATTGATCCAAGACTCTGAATTACCCTTAATTAATATGGCTTCTTAAAGGTTTGATTTCTGGATTTTATTAAAAAAAAGATGCAAAAGATTGTAACTACCTAACTAGATCTAATAATGAAATCACTAAAATTACATATTGTTTTAAAGAAAAACTTATTACAATTAAGGAAGATTTTTATCACAATTTTAGAAATTTATGTTGCTAAAATTATAAAGCGTGATGGGTAAAATTAAAAAAAATTGGTGAATTTTCTTTAAATGGAATATTATCATACAGTACAAATACATTACAGAGGAATGATTTGTATGTGTGTATAGTTTTAACTAAAAACTCAAAAAGACTAATTCCAATTATTATTTTAACGTTATCCTTACAGCTTGAACCGTGCGAAGGTTCTGCGAGCTGGACAGGCTAATACAAAATATATGGATAATTCAAACACCAGAAATATAATAAATAATTTAATTCTTACAGCTAATATTTACAATGCGCTTAGCCTCAATCTCGTCGGTTCGGTAACAAACAATTGTTCACAAACACCTGTTACACATCTTACACTATAAAGGCACTGTTGTTTGACTAGATATATTAAGAGTCTTTTCGTCTGCACTATTGACATATAGTGAGTCGGAGGGATACGTCCTGTTTGAACTTGATTACCTGTGAACAAACACAATTTTTTATTAGTAAAAAGCCTTTTAATTAAAAATAATTTAAATAGGAAAATGTTAATTTTTTTTTATAAATTTAAAGTTAAAGTATTTTTTTAAAAGTAGGTTACGATTAATAATCGAAGTTAATCATCAATTTAATAAATGAAAATTTACCTATGATATTGCTATTTCTGCTGCCACCAGGAAATTACATCGAGGAGCTCATCTTCATCCATAGGACCGAGGTTCTGCTGCGTTGACACCTCATATCGATTCGTATCCACCGGAGAATACGCTGATGAAACGCCCGAAGAACACTCCGAGGGCGCAGGTGAATCAGGTTTCTCAGAACAGGGTGAACCACTACCATAAAAAAAACTGTCATCCATGTCCATAGATGTCATTAGTTGGGCGTTTGGTATATTTTCTCTATTCTCCTGATCCCGAGTTATTCCTAGAGCAGCATCACTTTCATCTAATAATTGCTGAAGATATCTTATATATTCAACCACCATTCTTAAAGTGTCCACTTTGCTTAGCTTCTTGCCTGATCCGCGCCGGGCGCCACCTGATAACGCGGCCACAACGGAAGCTGGCAGGTGACGGCGAAGGGCATTAAAACCATCGTTTACTTGCTTCACACGATTCCGTTCCCTTGCATTTCGTCTCGCGATGGATGCGGCCTGAGGACCTGTGTATGGATTTGTTCTAAAATGTACTTTCTTCCTGTACTGCAAGTTTGGAGGGGTGTCGTGTGTGACGTAGTTTTTTTCTGGAGCTGGAGCGATAGGTACGACCCTTTTCTCCATTGCGGTCTTTGTTACTGTCGCTGATGGGTAACCAGACGAGACTACGACGTAGTTTGTTTGACCTTGGACGAGTTGTATTTCTTGCAACATATTACGTGTTTACGCGGGTCACTGCGGATAGTAGACAACCGATCCGCGCGACGTTCAAATAAGCACTGGCGATCGCGATTAAGGGGAGGCTTTGTGGGAGCTTTCGTAGCGAGCGGCGGCAACGGAGCTTCACGCACAAGTGAGACGGCGGCGCACGCGCACGCGTTATATCACCTGCGCCGGCTGCAAAAAATAAATTTTAAAATTCTCTTCCCCTATTATTTTCCATCATCCCTTCCCTTTGTACGGGTCCGTACCTGGCGAGGTGGATAGGGGACTGGCCGGCGCGGGCAGGGAAAGGCTAACGCGTGCCCAGTTTTTTATTGATGACCATTAAACAGTACTATAAAATATTATTTACGATAGCTTTGCTTTCATCTATATTTGAAAAATTTAACCCTGTACCGTTTAAACTAACATAACTAATGAAATTTATGGATATTGTAACGTGATACGTGTAATAATCACAATATAATCCTATAAAGACATGAAAAAATTAAACTGCAGACGCGTTCATATACTTGACAGAGATAAAGTAACACTGCGTTGTTTTTTCAAAAAACCCGAACATATCTCATAACAATCTAACCAATTTCGGTAGTATTTAAATAAATCAATCGTTTAAGAACTTTATCGACACTTATATATCTTAATACGGGATGATATTAAATATTTCCCGATAATAAATGTCAAAGACTTAAGAGATTGTTAATCTGTTGCCGACAAAATAGTCTAACAACCTTTTATCAAAGCAAGTTATCGAAAATAATTTTTCCAAGTAAATTTACTGCATCATATTAATTAGAGTTAAGATGGTTTCTTATATTGATTATGCCGAGATATTATCGCCTGTATAATTCATTGATTTAAAGTCAATTAGTACACCTCGTCTCTTACCTTTCACACGATGATAGTGTATTTAGAAAATTGATTAGTTTTTCATTTAAATAACCCACTAATTTAATTTGTATACTTAGGTATAAATATTCATCAATTTGTTAATATAGCGGTTAAAACATTTAATATAACGTACTTGTTTCATCAAATCTCTTATATTTTAATTCTTCATTATCGGACCTAAAAATCGGTCCATTTCTTATATCATATTTTTATCACGGACACTAGTATGAGATGAATTAAATTTTATTAATGGGGATGTGAATTGATATGCATATACACATGCGTCATGATGGATGGATGGAAAAGGGACAGGAGGCTCACCTGATGTTAAGTGATACCGTATAGCCAAAAGGCTCCCAAGTGCGTTGCCGGCTTTTAAACAACTGGTAAGAAGTTTTCTTGAACGACAAAACACTCAGTTGTAGAAAAACTTATAATAAATAGAACTAATATTAAATAGAATCGACTAATGAGGAATTAAAAAAAATGTTTTTTTTAGGAAAAAAATTATTGACTTCAGCTCGCGGTTGGAATAAATTAAAAAAAAAACTTCTCTTGACATCCATATGTAGAATATTAAAAGATCTCATGGAAGAAGTTTCCATATATGTATGTTATGTAATGTTACTACTAATTAGTAGAGGGCTTATGGCTTATAGTCTCGATGATGCGGGATTCTATTGTAAAACATACTTTCAATATTATTAAGGGTTTTTTTCCATTTAATATATTAATCTATCTTTGTGGCCTATGGACATTTATTAAATATATACTCCGATTTCTAATGTTTGCAAAGCTGTCACAATTAATTGTTTATTCACAACCAGAACGAACGTAGTATGTCACTTAGTACTAATTAAATTAGTCGGCTCTTTGGTCTTTATGTTCAGTAATATGAAACGAATGGCCAATTAAATGTCAAAACATAACACACCCACTTACCTAGTTAAGAACCAATCTATGTCAATCGGGTTAAATTTCACGCGTAATGAAATTTCAAATGTGTGTGTATCATCGTGTGTTCGTAGGTTCGAATCCTGGCTGTGCACCAATGGACTTTTCTGTATATGCGCAATTAACACTCGCTGGTTCGGTGAAGTAAAACATCGTGAGGAGTCTCAACTAACTATTAGAAAAAAAACAAATGACAACGAAACAGATACAGAAATCTGAGACCAAGGATTGTAGCGCCACAGGTTTTCTACTTCTTTTGGGGACTTGAGTGCAATTAAACATGATTAAAATCTTCACTGGATTATCTAGTACGAGAATAATATAAGGTATTTACAGAGCAAGTGTTTTCTTTATTTTCTATTTGATTTTAAAACGTCCATACATACTCAATTGTGACTGGCTGAGTAATTGAATAAAATCATATTGTATCTATATTTTTGTACCTACACCATTTTCGTGCAAACAAATGTTTAATATTATTTACAATTACAGAAATTTTACTTAAATTACAGTAGTCGTGCATACCACAGATTATAAAGTATAAAAATAAATACGATCGTTTTATATATAAAGGCCATTTATAAAAACCATTATAAAAGTCATTTACCACTTGAACCGAAAATTAGACAATATGCTTTCTAAGTGAAACATTTTTAAAGACTTTCTCCGAGTATCAAAACTAGTGTATAGATAACTAAAAACGTGGTTAGCAAGCAAATATTGTACAAAAATACTTAGTTTGGTAGATTTTATCTATCGAAAAACGATTAATACACGTTTTACCCTTGATGTAATCACACCCAATATTTACCGGACATGACGTGTGGGAAGGCCATAATAGGTTTTGTACCTATTTTAGGGTTACGTTATATTCCACCACGCACGCAATTGGTTTTTTTGATGCGTTTATCGAGGTCCTGGATTCATATACCGGGGGAAATAATTATATTTCCGTTTCTTTGCTGGTATTTTTTTTAAATATATTTGCCTGATTATTGTGAATAAACAGTCTAGTAACTAAAGATATATTCTGCATTATTTGTCAAATTATCTGTGAGTTTTTCCCTTTATTATACATTTTTGTATATGTATTTTATATATAAAATATCGGTAACTATTGATAAGTTTGGTTTTTACAGTGTCGAGGATATTTGATAAATGCTAGGTAATGCTAAGACGAATTATTAATACTGAAACTTCCTAAATGTTCTCAAGTTGTTTTTAAATGCCAATCAATACAAACACCATTATTATTGGCTTGTTTTTATACGAAAATGTCATCACCTTATTAATAATGAAGCTTCCTAACCCCCCCTTATTAAGGCTTTACTTAGGGGATCATCCTTCTATGCTGACACTTCATTGTGCCTTCGACCTTCCAATATGTACTTGCGCAAATAAAAAGTGCTCTGATGCACGGCCTGGGTACGAACGCTCATTGTCAGGGATGAGGAGTGCACGTTGATGCAGTTGTAGTTGCTGAATACAATGCATTATAGAGGGATGTTATAATAATGTTGTGACATTCCCTAATTTCTCAAACAATTACGCGCCGGTTGTTATAAATAAAACAATAATGTTTAACAAATTACGAGATGTACGTGGGATTGGGGTGATGATTATGGGAATAGTGTCATCTGTCAAAGTTACGCTTCAACAGTGTGGGACTAAAATAAACAATTATTAGTATTTTAATTTGTGTAAATATACATTTAAGGTTTGATTGTCAAACTGTAGGTTTTGGGGGGGAAATAGCGCAAGACAGGGAGAGATAAAATGTAAAAAGTTTATTTTGGGGCCATAGAAGACCAAAGAAAAACACGAAGCCGAAGACCAAAAAAAATATTATGACCGATTTGTAAACAGCTGAAGTTAGGTAGTTACGGGATATGTGAAAATTAATATTATTCAAGTGTCATAGTGTCGTTGAGGTTACATAATAAATAATAATTAAAGTTGAATTTAATGTTAAACATTTATTTTAATTAAAAATGTAAACAGTATTTAAAATTTGGTAATTAAAATAAAATACGTCTTAATAATACATATAAAAAATAAAAATAAAGAAAAACTTTTTACTCTAAATTTTTTTGGCGTTTGCATTTCTAATAAAGCTATTTCACACAGTAGTACCTATAAGAGTTTACAATGACGCAGAATATCAACATAATTCTATACTCATTTGATATCAGTAGCCTGTTAAATTCTATTTTGACCTCACATTTGAAAATTATGCACATCTATTAATCATGTATAAAGGTTGCCGCACACAAAAGAACTACCTGATCCATTGATTAACGATTTGTTGAGTGACTCCTATTCAACGTCAAAGGGTGAAAAGTAATATGGAATGTACATTTCCCCTCACAACAAAGCTTGGCCATATCAAACGCCAAACACTAAGCATGATTTGCGTTTAAACGCGGTTTTAATTGATTGATCAAAGCACTGTTGTAAATAAAGGTTTTTATTTAAAAAGAGAAATTTATACTACAACTAGCTGATCCGGCAAACGTCGTTTTGCCATGTTTATCATTTATAATAACAAATAGGGTTGATCGTAGAGGGGTGAAAATTAGGGGTTGTATGTATTTTTAATGCTGTAACATAAAAAATAAAAATTAAAAAAAATATCTAAAAATTAAAAAAAAAAAAAATTAGGGGACTACCCTTAACATTTAGGGGGATGAAAAATAGATGTTTTCCGATTTTCAGTTATATCCAATATGCTCACAAAATTTCAAGAGAATCGGTCAAGCCGTTTCGGAGGAGTTTAACCACAAACACCGCGACACGAGAATTTTATATATTAGATTTATATTTATGTTTTCAACATGATAAATGTAAATCTAAAAGTTTTGCAAATTGTTAAAAGGTCAAATATAGAACCTTTCTGTTACCTTAAGAGGTTACTGTTCAGAACATTAACATTGTCGTCCCTTATTCCCAAAGTTCAAAATCAGTATAATTTTCTAAATTCCGTCTGCAAAACCAAGATAGGAGTTCAGGCACCTAACATTCGAATTCTTTGCGAATATAACAGCATAAATACTTATCCAGAGCTTGACATATTCTGTAGTGGGCTGATCAATTAAAAAAAAGCTTTATTAAGTGTCTATCTGATACCTAATCCGCTGATTTGCTAG